ACACATAGATAGATAGATAGATAGATAGATAGATAGATAGATAGATAGATAGATAGATAGATAGATAGATAGATAGATAGATAGATAGATAGATAGATAGCACTAAAGTCGCAAACGTCTCAAAAGCCACAAAAGCCAGAAAAGTGGAGCTTTTTAATAATTAATTATTTTTCTAGTTGAACAGTATAACAGCACATGGGCTTGCATTGGATAATGATGTTTTTCATTACTGCCTTGTAGAATGGAGAAAAGTCTTCCTGATAAGACTCGGACGGCCGGTTGTAGCACACCAAGTCTTCCCAATCTTCCTGTGCTTACTTTTTTTTTACCCTTGTCTTGCAGAAAGGAATCCAGCGGAGTAGACAACTTGTTCGAACGCGCTTGGAAATAAACTTCGATCGCTCATTCCGGGGCCATTGTGTGACGAGCAGCCGATGACGAAAGATGCCAGTCGGGTCGTTCGACGCATGCGTTAGATCCCAGTCTTCAAGCATCAACACTGCCTCGCATTCGCTGATAACTAGCCCGGTCGTCTGGTAGGCAAGATGTCGCGGCGAAAGCAGTCTAGACCTCGGCCAGTCAAAGGTAAGGAGAAGTTTCGTTTTCGCTTACAACTTGCTTTTATATTATGTTGACTACTTTTCTGTGTAAAAATCCGATCGCTAATGTACTTGTTATTCATTACCAAGCATCATTTCATCAGTAGATTGTTGTTTACTCCTCAATTTTGTTTTGTCTCTCGGGAAGTTACATGGCTTCTTCGATGGGCCCGCGACGTTGCTACTTTCGGTTCCGATAAGGCGATCGAGGGAACAATTGTGCTGATAGGAGGTGGGAGGGACTTGCGGTGTGCGGTTCCAGCCAATGGCTGAGAGGGGTGCCTTTAGGTGGTGGTGCCTGTTGAAACACCTCGTGTTCATCGATCTGGTGCTACCGATTGCACACCATTGACACTGCAGAACAGAGCCACTCTTTACTGTTGCAGATCCTTCAAAAATGTGTCAGTTCAGCTGTGTCTACTTTTTTCTGACTTTTTTTTTGTGTTGGTCTTTCTATCGTTTTGCCTTTCAGTGCGCTCTTCGTTTTATATGGCTTTTTTGGGTCGTATTTCCTTCTGGTTATGTTTTTAATGTTTTACAATTTCTATCGTATTAGTCATTAATTTCGCCATGGCCTTATTCATCCTACGTGGTTGACGAGCGTGAAAATCAGTATTATTGTACCTCATCCCCATCTTTATAATTCATGTGCATAATGGTAAATGCATGTATATTGAAGACAAACCTTGGATTAGTGTGAATTCAAAGTTTTTATCAATTTTGCGGAGTGTAATAACATTGCATAGATTGCAAAGTTAAAACGTGTTTACGTGTTGGCAAAGTTTTCTTTTTCATAGGGGTATAAATTGAACTTTATCTCAGAAGACGAAGGCTTGGCGTTTAACAATAAAGATTCTAATTTCTATTATACTTTGACTCTGCTTTGGATTTAGGCGCTGAAATAAAAGAGCTGTCATGCCATGTTGAGTTGTGAGGAAATAATTATTAGTCAGACTTATTACTGCCCTGAATGTCTGTACTGCTTTGTTGAAAATACAAAGATGATTTCGATAAGAAGGAGGAGACGGAGAAGGAAGTAGAGGAAGAGGGGCCGGAGGGAGAGGGGCAAAATGAAACAGGAGAAGCATAGTAAGAACAAAACAAGAAGAAGAAGAAGAAGAAGAAGAAGAAGAAGAAGAAGAAGAAGAAGAAGAA